TTTAAGTCTATGAACTATTCCGACAGAATGACTTGCTTACCGTAGCTCCTCTTTTGCTGTCTCTTGACTCTCATCAAATTCTTTAGGCCTAATATATAAACAAATCGTTAATGTGGTTTGTAAATAAATAAACAAACAAACGGGTTAATCAAACACGTTACCAAATCCCCTCTGCTCTTAATTGTTTGATGTGCTCATTCAGAAGGACATGTACGATCTCTGCTCCAACTTTATTTTCTCCTTCGACCGGTAGCACGATAACGTAGCCACCTTAATGAATGGATAATATGACGTTGCTAGAATTGGAAAAACGAACGCTTGATGAATGTTTTCCTCGTCTTACCTCTCTTAACCCAAACAACGTTTCTGAATCTGGGAGGAAGTGTAGCAAGCGTGGATGTACCGTCAATCAGTTGAACTTCATACAGATGCTTACCTCTCCCACCAAGCACCCGTGCTATTTTTTCCTCGGGAGTTGGATGTGGCGTATTATAAAGAAGTTGGCGTGCTGATTTCTGCCTCCGCGACATGTTGAATTGATCTAACTGCTTGACAGAAATTCATTGATCTACTACCGTTCATGTGATTTACCTTGTACAACATCACAGTATTGTATTTACCAGAAAATATTGTGAGCTTCGTTGCCCGTACAGAATTTTTAATAAAGCTTCCTTCAACCGCTTATTATCCATACATTTAAGAATGATAACCATAACAGAAACACTCGGCATGATTTTAGAATTATTGAACTAGCTAGTCATTGCTAGACTCTCTGCCAAAGGCTAACAATTAAATGCTATTTCGCATAATCTTGACATATATAGTTCGCACACACTTGTGCATGCCAAGTTTCATTTGCGTTGCCTACATATAGTTGCATAGTGGCAATCGCGCGTTTTATCCAGGTCCAAATTTGCACAATGAAGATAATCTTGCCTCATTGGCCGACCGCATAGTGCTGAAATTGTCAATGAAACAAGTGTTATATATTTTCTTATATGTTTAAATAAACCTCCCGGCAGAGGCAGCAAACAGTAAACGCATACAATTTATTTTACTCGAGCCATATTGACATACATGAAGCGTATTATATTTAATTTATATAATTAGACGAGGACTAGCCCTTGAATAAAACTCGTATCAACTGTAAATAACCCGTAAATTACAAGTCTACTCAAGGAGCGTTTGAGTCACTAAATTACAATAATAGACAATGTTAATACTGTAAATTGATTTTATTGATAGCCAATTACCGTCGTCATACCTGCAGCTGAATCCAATTCATAACTATTTCTCGGTTTAGGCAAGGCTCCGGTTGGTAAGAGTTTACTAGAGTATTTACTCTCCTTCTCGAGACGTGACAAAGGTTTTACATCATTATGATAAACGGCATTCCACGCGTTGTTATTCTTTCCCACATCTATAATCATACGGCGAATACCCACCCAAAGTGTCCGTGCAT